GTAATTGCTCTTTAATCTAGATTTCCTTCGCTCGAAACTTCCCTTCTGTTGGATTCTCGAGCTCATTTTCCTTACCCTGGTTCCCTTTTTCCCTCGAACGCTCGCCGAATCGAATTAATCTGGAGGGCGTTGCAGGATAGCCGAAATGGGGCTAACGATAAAAGCTACGTGTCGCACGGTTTTTCAAATGGTTTTTCAATTGGTTTCGAAACAGTTAACAACAGTTGGGAATTCTATTCGTATCGAGATTGTCAGATATTTGATAAACGACAACTGCCCGACAATTCTCCGTAAAAATCGTATGCAAAAGTTATCCGACCAATCCGCTCTTCAACTCGAATTTTCCAACTTAACCTCACCTCGAGCACTTTTTATTCTCTCGTACACGTCAAAACTTTGGAATATTATCAGACATCTATAATCTCCTCGTTCGGATTATAAAACTTTAGACACTTCCGAGTTCCATTCCACGAGCGTGAAAAATGAAATGGAAATTGAAAAATCGTCTCGTAATGAAATCTCTGCGAGGAGGATCCTATCGTTGCAAATAAGTTTCCGGTTTGGCCGTGACAACCGTTGGATCGCCAACTTCCCTATCGAAACTTGGAAAGTTCCCAGTGATGGACGGTCGGACGAAGATTGAACGAGAGATTCGCGGCTTCTGGGTCACTGGGACCGTATCATGATTCGAAGGTGAATGTTTTCACCCTCGGTTCACTGGTCATCGGTTGCTTGGGGGAAAATTAATTTTTCACAGCTGTCCGCCGGCCGATCACCGAAAAGTGTCGAAAAAGTACGCGAGATGGGGCGTCGATCGCGCACTCACCGATTTCATCGCTTTGGGAACGCGCGTTCTTACAGGTGGCACGAATATTTCATCGGGTTGTTCTCGGGCCGTTTCGATCCTTTGTGTTGGCTGCCGGCTATCGGGACGATTTGATTGCCCGGCGTAAATTAAACGGGCTGGTATCAAGGGAGTTGTTCAAATTCGACCGCCACGAGCTAGCCCCAGGCGTAAATTCTATTTGAACCTTTTCCGGATCGCGTTTCGCCCATTTGTACATCCTTGGAATTGTTGGGCAAATGGGTATGCAGGGTGTACCAAGTTTTTTTTTTTGCACGATTTTGCTAATTAATAATATTGCTACTAAATCATACATTATAGTTCTTTTTTTATAATTTGTCAACTTTTTTTTGGTAATAAAGATAAATTCAGAATTTATTAAATTTTCTTTCTTGTAAAACTTTCTCGTTTTTATTATCAAAATTGACTGTTATGAAAAAGAAAGCTTCAGCGCTTTTTCAACTCTCATTTCTTTATTTCTAAAAAAAAATGGTAAATATTTGTGGAAAATGAGAGAAAATATGCATTAATCAATCTCTAAATAGTTGTTTATTCCTGCGTAATGAAATAAAAATTTTTTTTTACGAAAATAATCCATTTCTTACAACTTTTTAATAAAACATTCATGAGTCCATGTTTATACGATATTTCTTCTTGTTTTTACACATGGAATATGCTGGCACCATTTTGCAGGGAAAAACCTGGTGCACCCTGTATAAAGCTAAAGCTTTGAGCGAAACTTCAATGGAATACGGTTATTATTTACCGTTGGCAGCTCTCTTGCTTTTGAATTTCGTTTCGTAGTGCGGTGGAACTTGTGTGTTAGGGGATTTTCAAGTTTTATGCGAGTTTATTTTACGTGGAAGTTATATCGCCCGAGAATTTAACTCGCCGATCGATGCGTCCTACACCGGTCTGATAAAAAATCATTTATACTACTCGTCGAAAACTTGAAATCAGTTTTCCGGAGGAATATTTGAAACGTTATTCTGCATTAATATGCATCGTGAAAATTTCAACGCATCACATTCTTATAAAATTATTATTCGAACAATAATACTTCTAAAATAATCGAAACTCTTGTTCTCTTAATATTTCGATCATTTCATCCGATAAATTAAACAGATCCTGAACAATCGTTCCAATTTAACCTCATCTTCCTTGATTTAATATTTCAAGCTAATTTTCAAAAGATGGTTCGAAGATTGGATGGAAAGATTCTCCTCTCTCCCAATCAGATTTAATATTTTTTAAGGAATAATAAGTTGACCCCGTTTCACGAATCGAGAAGCTATTATTGCCTCGATTGGAATTACCATTCCCGAAATCCTACATCGATTCCCAGATTTTTCGAGCGAGCGAGAGCCCGAGGGGAAGGTTTACCGTGGCGAATTGAATATTTAACTTGGCGAACTTCCTCTCGAGGAGCCCATCGCGTCGGGAGGCTTTAATCAGTCGGAATTCGATATTCCATTAAATTTGTAGACGCGTTGCGTTTCGAGGACGCGGCACCACGACGGCACAAAACGCACATGGCCGTGTTATGGACCGTAGAACCATCGAGTTCGCGCGATCGTTTCGTGAAATGATCGGTGACAATTTTTCTCGTGTCCGCGAGAACTCACTTTGCGCGGGAGCACATTCGTTCGTTCATAAATCGCTGGACACGATTACAATAAATAAATTATTTCTCGTGAATGAAGAAATGGCCCTCCATGTGTGTACGCCATTTTGATTCGTGGTTGAGAAGAGATTAAAAATTTCTTAATTCTTAATCTTCGTTACAAAATGCCCAATTATGATCGAAATCGCGAACTCGAGAGCCCGATCCATCCCCTTCCGATGATGCTTCGTAATGGATACGTACGCACGTTCTTGCTAATGCAGTATATTTTTCTTTTTTTCTTTTTTTTTTTTTATCTCGTATTCAAAACGTAACATCTTTCCAAACTTAACATCATAAATTAATAAATAAATATATATATTATTTATGTATATATATATATATATGTATATATGTATAATACGCTTAAGTTTGTATAAACGTGAAATCTCGTCTCTAAATATACCTCGGTGTGTGTGTGTGTGTGTGTTCGTAATGTGTTTCCTAACGGTAAAGGTCGCGTCTATTATTGCTTCAATTTACAATCTTCTTCTTCTCCTCCTTCTTCTTCTTCTTCTTCTTCTTCTTCTCCTCCTCCTTTTTTCCCTTCTTTTTATCTTCTTCTGAAAACGGTCCTCTTCACTCGACTTCAACGGGTTCAAGCAGGAAAAGAAAAAGGAACCGTTCAGTTTTTTTTTACGAATTCTAAACTTTGTGTCTTTTGCTCCCTTCGTGGTGTGTATTTTTATACTTATGCGCTTTTACTCGCGCGCGCGCGCATGTATATATATATATATATGTACGTATGTATGTATATATATATAAGTATCTGTAAGTGTGTGTACGGTTTATATAAAGGTATAAAGACAGAGAAAGAGAAAGAGAGAGAGAGAAAGGTAAAGAAACACAGACGGAAGGACAATGGGGGCGCGGATTTGACGATACCGCGCCACCTTCATTTTCCCGTCTCGTTTCTCGCTTATGTAAATCCTTGTGCTTGAGGTAGCCAACCGTTTCGCGAAAATCTTTTGCCTCGGCCTAAAATCGGCCTAAAAACGTGTGTATGTGTGTGTGTGTGTACGTGTGCGTGCGTGAACGAAAATAAACGGGCGATATGATTAAATATTTTTCAACCGGTTACCGATACGACTTCGTAAGAAGAAATGGCGACCATTGATGGACGTCATCGATTTTTTCGATGCAAAGAATTTTGAAAGAAAAAAAAAAAAGTATTTTATTCGTAAGAATAAATGACGACACCAGGATGAACGTCATCGATCTCTTCCACGATGCAAAGAATTTTGAAAGAAAAAAAAAAAGATATATACGCGCGAAGAAAGGTAAAAAAAAAAGTATTTTATTCGTAAGAAGAAATGACGACCATCGATGGACGTCATCGATCTCTTCCACGATGCAAAGAATTTTGAAAGAAAAAAAACAGGTATATACGCGTGAAAAAAGGTAAAAAAAAAGTATTTTATTCGTAAGAAGAAATGACGACCATCAATGGACGTCACCGATTTCTTCGATGCAAAGAATTTTCAAATAAAAAAAAAAAGGTATATACGCGTGAAGAAAGGTAAAAAAAAAGTATTTTATTCGTTCCATGGGAAATTTATGTTGGATAAAGAAAACGTAACCGGTTGTTTATATCAAAGCAAAAGGATGAATAGGGAGAGTGAAAGAGGATGGTGAAACAAAGAAAGGGGAGCAGATAGTGAGAGCAGAGTAGTGGGAAGAGTAATCTTGGGACGCTAGCCTAGGAGGGTTTAAACGGACTAACGAGACGCTGCTTTGATTTGATTTGTCACTACGTTTAAATGCGAAATGAACGCCCGCCTCGGAACACGGCGCCCAGCATTTGCACTGAACCAACGGAATCCGACGCAATCCGTGAAAATAAATACGTTCCCCGTAGCCCTTCCACCAGTTCCCACTCCCCCACGCCGTCCCCCCTCCGTGTAATACAACGGTGGCCACGTTTATGCGCCGTACAATTTACATTCCGAGTCAGATTGCGTTCCCCCAGCGAAAATGCATTCTGTTCTGTTCACCGGCGGCGCGACTATCTCTCGGAAGACATTTCATTTTGAACCTCGTCCACCACGAGTTCCAGTCCACCATTTGTCCCCCTCCCTCCCCTTCCCAGCTTTTACCCTCGGACGACGGACGAGTACCCTCCTCCTCCTCCTCCTCCTTCTCCTCCTCCTCTGCTCCCCGGTACGATTACAATACGCATTGTCGAATAATTTGAACCGACTTTACTCGTCCGCGAGCTTCGAAATGACAGAGGGAGACAGAGAGAGAGAGAGAGAGGGTTAAGAATCAAGTCAATCGGTTAGAATAAATCTCCTCTCTCTCCAGACAACGCACAGACAGATCTTTAACACCGGCTAATCCATTTTCCCCTGATCCGAATCTTCTGGATCCAGCGAGGGGAAGCAAAGCGTATCCCCTCGAACGAAGCCGACTCTCTCGTCGCACAGGGAGAGGGGAGGGTGGAGGCGTTGAATCCCTTTCCGGGGCTGGAAATTTCTCGCGACAGGAATCCTCGTTTCCCTCAAACGAACACCACGTGAGGCTTCTGCGGGAGCGGTGGCTCGTAGTCGTAATCGTAGTCGTAAGCGTAGTCGAGGGTACGACGGACGTTGGTTGTCGTCGGCGCGGTTGGAACAACGTTCTGCATCCTATACAGGGACAGCGCTTCCGGTGGCTCGTCGCCGTGGAGATCGGTCACGTCGGCGACCGCGTACACACCCTCTGCCTCCGTCTGCCCTGCCACCGGTGCGANGGCGTAGCGAGACCCATTTCAGGTACCTCGCGCTGTACAACACCCTCGCGGGTAGCTCCTTCAGACCCCGATTACCGTCCAACGAGATCCGTTCCAGGTTCACGTTGTCGGCGAAGGCGCGCGCGTGCACGCTAATGATGGTGCAATCGTTCAACTCGAGGCTTCTCAACTCGTAGAGATTGCGGAATCCGGCCGCGTCCAACGCTGCCAACGGGTTGCGACTCAGTATCAGGTCGGAGAGGACGTTGAGCCTGGCAAGAGCGGGTGTCGGCACGGACGTGAGATTGTTCCCGGACAGATCTAGGTGAAGGAGGTCCGGNTCGAAAGCGTCGTCACCGATATTCCTGATAACGTTGTTCGCAAGATCCAAGGAAACTAAGGAGGGCAACGAGGGCAACGAGTCCCTGTCGAGCTCCTGGATCAGATTGTCGGACAGATCCACGTTCTCCAGGCTTGGGGCCAGGGCCAAATTTTCGGTGGGGATCTCTAGCAGCGAGTTGCCCTTGAGGATCAAGGCGCGGATTTTGTGGAGATTCTTCAACAGTCCCTCCGGCAAACTGGTGATCGAGTTGTCGCTAAGATTCAACGTCTCCAACTCGCTCGTGGTTTTGAACGCTTGCTCGTCCATGTCGGATATATTGTTGCCTGCGAGGTTCAACTCTTTCAACGAGGCCAATCCTTGTAACGAGTTCTTGGTCAAGTTTCTTATCATGTTCCCGCTCACGTTCAACGTGGCCAAGTTCTTTTGGAAGACGAAATTGTCCGAGCCCAGCGTGTGGATCGCGTTCGACGTTAGATCGAGGGCCACCAGGTTACCGTAGAAGCTGAACGACAGGTGGATATTGGCCACGCGATTGTTGGACAGATCCAAGTGGGTGATCTCCGGGTTCAATTGGATCGGGACGACCTCGAGGCCGGCGTAAGCGCAGGAGGCGCGCAAGCTCTCGTCGTCGCAACGGCACTGGGTCGGGCAAAGGCCGCTCGCCGTCATCACTGACATCGCGACGGCCATCGCTATCGCGATTGCCACCGTCGTCGTCGCCGAGGGTCCACGCGATGCCATTCCATATGAACTCCTCCTTCGCTGGAACTGCCCTGCAATCATCAAAAAAAGGGGGAGATTTAATACAAGTACGAGCCAAAAAATTTTCTTCTCCTTCCTCTTTTATCGCTTTCGATCTACGCCTCATTTTTCAGAGAAATTGGATTGGGTAAGGGCGAGTTCGGTAAGTTCATTTAAATTACTGATTAAGGCCACCACGGTGTACGGTCCTGGCAGCGCTAAATAAAAGGAGAGGAGGGGAGGAAAAAAGTTCGCCCGGTGGAATATCTCTGGGCTCAATCAAGCCCTAACATGTTTGTATGTAATTGAAACGAGTGTTTGCCCAGGCTTCCATTGTCCTCTGGCGAAGCGCGGAGACTCGGCTGAACTTGTAATCACGGTAGACATCGTAAATTCGAAACGAGTCATTATTTTTCTTTCAGGCCTTTCCGGGGAACCAGCTCCCAACTCGTTAGACTTTCCCATTCAATAATTTCCACGTAATTTCCCTAAGTAGTCTCGCTAAGAGCTAGGCTATATTTTCGACTAATTAACGAGATGAAATAAAACTCAATATAATGTGAAAATCGTCTTTTTCTTTTTTTTTTTTAAGAGAAAGATAAATAAACGATCAGACGAGCGAGATAGATATTTATAGAAAAACAATTAAATTTTTTTCAATTATTTTGTATATATGCAGCAGATTTAATTAAGAAGAAGAGATTCAAGTACAACGAATTAAAGAAGATTTCCAATGGAAATTGTAGCAACAGCTGGATACGTTAAAAGAATATTTAAGATTTGTTAAAATACATGCTCGGTCATTTGCAGCACCTGTTGTTGGAGATAAGCGAACAGAAGTTGTTATAAAGCAAAAAAAAATGATAGTTTTTAACCGCTGAATATAATTTCCTAATGAGTGTCGCATATTACGTTACAGCTTGTGGATCGTGACATAATTATGCTCTTTTGATACGAATATTCAGAAAAAATACGTTGGAGAAAACGATAATACAAATGCTTTTGAAATAATATAAAAGGTAATTAAGAAATGTTACAAAAGCTGGAGAATAAGATAAAAAAGAAAAAAAAAGGAGACTCAAGTGATTTTAAACGTATAGAAAATATTATTCTTGTGAAATTGTGTCAGAGACATTATTCAATTTATTGTATTTATAATAACTTCTTTTGTATCGAAATGTACACCGTTGGTGAAATAAAATTATATGTGCTTTATGAGACGAAGAGATCGTGCTTCGTTCCTGTCTTGATTCAAATTACAATTGAAATTACGATTTATAAATTGCAAGAAGAATTTGTAAGAAAAACAGATAGAAATCGAGATTACGCGTAAGAATATGAGCAATCTTGGTACCATGATAAAATAGTATCGTAAGGTAAACGAAGGAAAATGGGATCGGCACAACGGTATCTTAATATTGATTACCATCAGCAAATCAATATCATGGTATGCACGTTTATAGAGTTATTAAATAATATATTAAGTACACATGCAACTTTTCCTCATAAATTTCATATTTTCATTATTATTCTGTACATTTTCCTTTCGTTGATATATTAATATCAACGAATATTTAAATATTTAAAGAATCTATTTAACTAAAAAAAAGAAAAGGAAAAAAAAGGGGGAAAAAAAAAAATACAAGTATTACAAGCCGGTTATAACCAACGCCACCGCCATTTTATCCATTCGAAACACGTCAAGCATCCTCAATATGCTAAACATCGAATCATTTTTTTTTTTTTTTTTTTTCCACC